TTGGAACTTGATGACCACATCCCCCCACCTCCCACCCGCACCGCTCAGAGATCTGCAGAGAGCCCGCAGAGAGCTCTGGTTTAGGTGAATTTATTCGCCAAAGACTGCAGCTGCAGCTCTGAAGTCAGGCTATATTTTAAAAAGTCTGTAGACATTGAAGTCTTGCTACAGGAAGTTAAACTCACACTAAAAAGAAGTTAAGGAATGCGTCCAGAATTCCAATTTAATCCCCAAGTTAAAACTTCACTGCACTCCCAAATAGTACAAATAAAACGTCTGTGTTTAGGCATCCTTTCTGTAGGCGGGGTTTTTTTTTTGTTTGAAAAAATATGCATTAATTTTCATTCGACAAAATTAGCGTTTCTAACTGGTGTGTTTTATGGGCAGAATAGAACTTGTTTTGGTGACGAAAGCTATATTTACATTGTTATCTTAAAATGTTTTGGAGTGAAGCAGATACACATAGATGTGGACAGTCCCCTCCCTGAGAAATCGAAACTCACTTCCTCCGCAAGGGCCTGTAATTTACAAAGATTTACAGGAATCCTGAACCTGGACTGGTTTTCTCCCAGGGAAGGGACGTGGTGGCTTCTTTAGAAAACTCAATTCCAGACACAAAATGGAAAAATATGGCATTTACACAAATACATGCAAAACAAGCTAAAATGACATTTCAAAATCGCTTACAAAATTACCAAACTGAGGAAAAATTTCCTCTGACAGAATTAGATCAGTTCGGTGCTTTCTGGGACGACCTACCAAGTTGATGTTTCTTGAAAAGTAGAAAATGCATTCAACCTTCTCACAAAACGCTATTGCCTCTAGATCGATCAAAAAATTTGAATAGCTTCCTAACATCCCTCCACTAAAAATCAAACCAAAACACATGCACCCATACACACCACCAACAAAATAACAAAAGCCTATTTAGTGCTGCCGCTAAAGAGGAAACTTTTTCCTTTTATTTATTTACTTATTTACTTAAGAGCCATTAAAAATAAAATTTCTAGGAGAGCGGTAAAAAAATTTTAAAATTCTATGAGAAAGAATTCTGCTGAAATGTTATCATGTGGTTTTGGCTAGCTGTGAGTTCATCACAGGACGGTTTTTTTATGCTTTAATAGAAATATCACTTCTGACTTTGGTGCTACATTGAGATTAGAAAGCCACAATAACTTTCAACCTTTTTGTGGATTTGGTTACAGAATTAACTGGTTATTTGAATAGTTCGAAGGTAACAACAAAAACAGTGGCATATATAACTAAAATGATCGATGACCTGCCTATATACATATGGATATTAATGAGGCAATTTTTGTGTGGACAATAATAACTTATGGGAACACTTTCAAGTTTTCAAAGAAGCATCGCATTTTTATTTGAGAACATATTTATTTTCATGGTTAGCACATGACTTTTCTCCAAAAAAAAAAGGTACAGTTTTATTTATCTCTTACGAACCTATATAGCACTTTCCCCTCCTAGAATTTGCCATCATTTTACTATGATCTTTAATCGCATATGGGAGGAAGGGGACTTACATAGCTGCATAATGTGACAAGCTGACATACACAGGCAGATACTACCCTGCCCTACACTCGATTAAAATAAAACCAAACGCTTCCATGGGTGCCGTGATATTTACTTTATCTGACAGTAATTAGCTAAACTGTCTGGAACGAAAACCTATGATTAGTTGAGCACAGCTCCAGGATTTTAAAGATCCTCGTTTCAGACAAGAGAATGCAAATGCCCCAGAACACAATCGTAACTGGATACTCCTTGGAAACGGATTCCACATCCTGATAAGTGACTCCGGAGAACCCACGGTGGCTGTAAGGTAACTGGTGCTCTGGGGTTTTCCTCCTGGGCAGGGGTGCGCAGCTGGTGGCTGCACTCTGTCCAGTCTAGGGGAGGGCTGGCTGCCGGCTGGTACAAAAAGGCAGGCCACTTATTTAGGTGAGATCGGCCTGGTGAGGATCCCGGCTGGGAAATTCAACTTCCAGGGAACCAGACGCACCAAAAGCAGGGAGGGCAGCCAGAGATGACTGGAGCCCCTGCTTTAGACCAGGTATCAGGTAGAAGTCTCCCCCGCCTCCCGTTCCCTCCCCATCCACCCTACCCCCGCCCTCTCCGCCATAGATCAGCCCGGCGCGGGGCTGGGTATGAGAAGAGCAAAGGGGAACAGGGCGCAGAAACCGCCTGCTAAGCCCCAGCCCCTGGGCTCCCCGCTCCGGATCCTCACCAGCCTTCAGCCCATCGACTCTGAACTCGTCCCCAGGCGGCCCGCTGAGGAGCAACACGGTCAGGGGACGCAGGAGATAACCCACGCAGGCCTGGCCCAAGGGTATCTGGGTGGGTATTGGTGGCAGCGGGTGGGGAGGAGAACGGACCGAGTGGGCCTGCGGGTGGGGAGGAGACAGCCTTCTACGTGCGCAGGGAGGAGGCAACCGGACAGACTCCAGAGGGTGCGTGGACATACCTCGTTGTTCCCTGTGCCCAGCCGCGGGATCTAAGATGGGGGTCTCAGAGATGAACTTAGGGAAAGCTTAGGAGCGAGGTGCTACCGAGAAGCCAGAGAACGTAGCAAGGGAAAATGCAGGCTTCGGTTGGAAATGCGAGAGAGTGTCGGTAGCTTTTGTCTTTTTTCTGTTTCTTAAATCTTGGAATCACGTAAGGAAAGCACCCAGAGAAGCGTAAAAAAAAATATGAGGCCCAGAGGGGAGCCAAACATCCCCCCGCGAGGCGTCTAGCCCTGGAGATGGGGGCGGAGGAGTGAAGCTGGAGCGCAGCTTCCTTCGCTTACATCTGCCTGACTCCACAACGCACACGCTCAAGGACGCGCAGCCGGCCGTGCCATGCACTCACCCCCACCTCTTTCTCGATCTTTGCGCCCAAGCATTCTCGATCTGCCGCAAAACCAGGCGCATCCTTCTTTCAGCAACACCACGGCCTGGTTTGGAGACGCCGGCCCGCCTGGGGCGTCAATAGTCTGAGAATTCACAGCTGAAAGGCACGGGGTGCCCCAGTAGCTGGGGAGCGGTCTTCCTGGCGCAAGGCCCTGCCCACAAAGGGTCCCCCCACAGCCCACCGACCGCTGGCACCTAAGAACTCCCCAGCGCACGTGGCCCGCGCGGCCGTGTCCCAGCTCCCAGAGCTCCCCGAGCTCCCCGAGCTCCCCAGGAGCTGACTCCCCCACCATTTCCGCTCCCTCTTGAACCGCCCCGCCTCTCCCCACCTCCCGACCGGCTGTTCTTTCTCTCCCCAGTCTTGGACACCCACTCCTCCTGCTGTTGCGGGGGAGTGAGTGAGGGGGGTGTTGGGGGGGGCTGGCAGTTCTCCACCCTCATTCCCCACTCCCATTCCATGCCTGCCACCGCCCAGGGACGTTGTCCACAATCCCTGCGCGGTCCACCCCGCTCCTTCCAGCGGAAGCCGGTCTCCCCCAATTCCACCATCTCGACTGCCAAAAAAAAAAAAATGCTTAGGGCAGCTAAGACCGGATGGAGCCTCAAGGTTGGTTGGGAACAGATCTCTGTTCTTTCAAGGCCAGCGCTATGCCGGGTCTTTAGCTGCGCCCCGTTCCTCGTGGGGCTGGGCGTAATGGCAGGCGAGCGCCCATTGTGCGGGAAGATGATCCCTACCAGCGTGGAGTTTCCTGTATCTCAGGAGACCCCACAGATTCGCCTAGAATACACGAAGGGGACCGCACGAGGGCGCCAGAAGGTGTGTGGGTTGGGAAAATTAGAGGCCTCCAAGGGTCAAGGCCTAGAAACTGGCCCCCAATTTCAATAGGCGGAAAGGACAGTCTCCACGGCTGGTTTTTTCACCTCCCTTCCGAGGACAGATTCTTCATCAAGACTGTATGAAGCCACCGTGCGCGCAGTACTCCAGCTTTGTCTCACCAGTGCAGTCAACAAACACTGCTTGACCTCTAATGTTGAATAGCAGTAATTGACATGTATTTGAGCACTTAACATGTGTGGGGCCTTCCCCTGGCTCCTGGCATGTTTTGCCTCATTTATCCCTGGCAACAACCCTGAAGAAGGTATTATTGTCTCCTTTTTGTAGACAAAGAAACTGAGGCTTAGAAACGCCCAAGGCCACACACTGACTAGGCTAGGATTCAAACCAAGAGTTGTGAGAAAACAAAGTTCAATAATAACTCCATCGTACTGTCTCTCACACACCTGCTTAGTGCAGTTGCTGCAAGACAAATACAAGGGCAAATGCAACCGGGACCCTGCCTTGGGGGGCTCACAGTCTACCTGGGGCAAGTAGGCAAAATACCTATAGTATTAAGTGGGAAGTAATAAGTGACCGAATGTCCTTCACTAACACACGCTGCAAGTTCAGATTCAAGAGAGATGAGCTCCGGCCAGGCGACCAGGGGGGCACGCTTTCTTGGAGGAGGTGGTATTTGAGCAGAACCTTGGAGAACACTTTTGACTCATGGAGACAAGTGTGGGAGCGTGGGGAAGGCGTTCCAATGGGAGGGAGCAGCTTGAGCAAAGTCAATGAGGCGGGAATGGACACGTCGATCATCTATAGATATATAAAACATTCTGCCTCCTTGGGGATCTAATGCCCGGTATTTATAAGCAAGGAAGCTCTCCTGCCCCGCAGCAGCTGGAAAAATCATGCTCCTGGGCCATCCATCCTTCCTAGCGTTGGTCTGCGGACAGGAAACCTCCCAGAACTGGCGCTGGCCGGGAAGGTGCGGCCAGAAGGGGCGGGAAGTGGTGTTCGGGCACCCGAGGCGGTGCAGACTCACCAGCAGCGACTCAGACTTGGAGGCTCTCTCGTAGTCCTTGTCTATTTCTGGTCGGGTCACTACTCCCCACGCAGTGGAAGTGGGGGGCGTGGTCCACATGAGCTGGAACCAATGGGAACGGAGGCTGAGGCGAGAGCCCCGCCCCTGGCATGACGCACGAACCTCAGACACAGGCTTCACCAGCGAGGGCCCAGACCCTGCAGTGGCTGTAACAAAACCCAGACTCCCAGGTCCCGGCCAATGGAGCCGATTTAGACTGGAGCAGGACCGCGTCTGTCAAAAGCCCCACTCGGCAGCCGCGGTGGAGTTCAGAAGGAGAGCTGGAGCGCTGCGCTGCCTCCCCGCCCCCGCCGGGATTTATTGAGTATTTGGGCTGGAAAATTAAGTGGCCCTGATGATGTTACCAAGCCCGGTCACTTCCACCCCTTTCTCAGTCAAAGACATCTTGAACCTGGAGCAGCAGCAGCAGCAACAGCACTTCCACGGCGCTCATTTGCAAGCGGACTTGGAGCACCACTTCCACTCAGCGCCCTGCATGCTGGCCACCGCCGATGGGACGCAATTTTCTGACGGAGGGGAAGAAGACGAGGAAGAAGATGGGGAGAAATTGTCCTACTTGAACTCACTAGCCACGGCCGACGGCCACGGGGATTCTGGGCTCTGTCCGCAGAGCTATGTCCACGCGGTCCTGCGAGACTCATGCGGTGGGCCTAAGGAACATGAAGAGGACTCCGAGGTCGTGAGGGACCGGAGCCAAAGTGAGTAGAGGGGGGAAGGAAACGCACCCGCACATCTGGAGCAATGGCGGAGCGCCCCCAGATACTCTTCAAAACCTGCCCCTTTAGCCCTTGGCTGGGGTCATGCCTCGCCCTGGTCCAAGACAACTCCGCAAAGAGCAGGTGCCTAGGGTGGAGGGAGAAGGACCAGGTGACCCCGACAACTCCTCCTCCCAGAGAGGGGTCCATGCAGCCCCTAAGGGAAGGGAAGGTCGGTGTTGCTGCCCTAATATAGATAAGCAACAGGGGCTCAGCCCCGCTGAGTCCGGGCAAACTCACTGTATTTTTGCTCTTTCCAAGAGCTAAAGGGGCAAGAGCTTGAATCTTTTCCACCTTCCCTCTAGCATGAGACCAGTTCTCTGATGCCAGAGCAGTGGTCCCTCTTTTTAGGAAAAAAAAGGGGGGGTTCAAGCAGGTTGTGTCCAGCATCCACGGGACACAGGAAGTTTGCTAGAGACCAGCTGAGTGATTTCCTCTTCTCTTTACTTGGAGCTCAGCATCCTCGAACCCACAGCACCCGGCAGAGAGAGGTTGCGTGGGAACACAGTCTGTTCCGCGGAGCACTCACACCCCTGAGGCGCCGGCCTTTTTTTTTAAAGAATTCTTAACGTTTTGCTTTGTGTCCCAGGCAGTGCTGCTTCCGGCCGAAGGAAAACCGCGCCAGACTTAGTCTAAGATCCCGGCGCTCCCATCGGATGGGAGGTGACTTGGGCAGGGAACTCAGATAACTGAATACAACCTCCAAGGAGGTGTTTGTGTCTGAGGGGACACAGTGGAATCTCTTTCTCCAAGAGGCAATTTGATCTGGCCAAAGCCGAGGCCTGCCTCCCCTCTGACAGCTCCCCTGGGCCTAAAATCGACGTGAAGCTATCTATATCAGTCAAATTTCCTTTCTCTCTAAGGCAGCACAGACATCATCACACGGGCATTTAGCTGTGAGCATGTAGTACTTTAGGAGCACAAATTAGTCGCTGAGCACTGCACGAGCGTTACACTTTCTATCAGAAAGATGTCCGTGCAACTCTCGCATACCGGCTCCCAGATACCAACACGCCTCACACCTTCCGCTATCTGTGACGGCGTGGAAGGCAAACGAGTTTGCAAATACTGTAGTTATTATGTAGTTGCAAACGTGCATCCTGAAAATAGTCATTAGCACGCTGAGCCGCACATGTAATACGGGGTAATCTCCTCTCTCGCAGATGCTCAAGTTCTAAATAAACGCCGCGCACTAACTATAACTACCCCTCCCCGTGGAACGTGCCTCGAGGGCGTTCTAACTGTACTTGGACGGAGCCACAAACTTTCCAAAAACTCTAGACATTTACTACCGCACGCTCCGTGCAGCTACCAACAAGGGCACCGTGCTCCGGGGTCGGAGCTGCCGTGAGGTCTGGCACCTCTAAGGGACGCTGATGTTTTCCTTCTTCCGCAGAAAGCTGCCCGCTGAAGAAGCCGCTGGAGGCGGCGGGAGACTGTAAGGCGGGCGAGGATGGCGAGAGGCCGAAGCCACGCAGCCGCCGGAAGCCCCGCGTCCTCTTCTCGCAAGCCCAGGTCTTCGAGCTGGAGCGCAGGTTCAAGCAGCAGCGGTACCTGTCGGCGCCGGAGCGCGAGCACCTCGCCAGCAGCCTGAAGCTCACGTCCACGCAGGTGAAGATCTGGTTCCAGAATCGCAGGTACAAGTGCAAGAGACAGCGGCAGGACAAGTCCCTGG